GCGACGGGATTTGCTATGACTTTTTATTATCGTCCGACTGTTACTGAAGCTTTTGCTTCTGTTCAATATATAATGACGAAGGCTAACTTTGGTTGGTTAATTCGATCAGTTCATCGATGGTCGGCAAGTATGATGGTCTTAATGATGATTCTGCACGTATTTCGCGTGTATCTCACAGGTGGCTTTAAAAAACCTCGCGAATTAACTTGGGTTACCGGTGTAGTTTTGGCTGTATTGACCGCATCTTTTGGTGTAACTGGTTATTCCTTACCTTGGGATCAAATTGGTTATTGGGCAGTCAAAATTGTAACAGGCGTGCCCGAAGCTATTCCTGTAATAGGATCCTCTTTGGTAGAGTTATTACACGGAAGTTCTAGTGTGGGACAATCCACCTTGACTCGTTTTTATAGTTTGCATACTTTTGTATTACCTCTTCTTACTGCCGTATTTATGTTAATGCACTTTCCAATAATATGTAAGCAAGGCATTTCTGGTCCTTTATAGTAAATATGAATCATAGATATTTGTAATTAATCATTTCTTATTTGGGGGAGGAATATATTTCATTGCTACAAATATGGATTATTTAAAAGAATAAGACATGTATTTGGATATTTTCCTTCAATTTAACAAAATTGGATTATTATTATTTTTTACATACACGAATAGTTGAAGGGAATTCTACGAAGAAGAAATGGATTATGGGAGTGTGTGACTTGAACTATTGATTGGGCCACGCAGATATATGATTCTCTCTTATCTGCCACATTTGAATTTACAATTCAATGTGTCTTTATTCCAACTACCACGCAAGGTCCGTTCCTACAGAGGATAGGCTGGTTTCACTTGTAAAGAATCTTTTCTATGATCAGACTCGATCATATCCTGCATGAACAGGCTCCGTAACATCCAGTAAAAAAAGTGATGTGGGATAATCTGAATTATATTTTCTCTATTTCACTGAACTTAATAGTATGGAAATGCATTCATTTCCTATGCATTGACTCGATTTATGATACTATCGGAGTAAACCAAGTGGATCTAAAGAAGAACAGGGGTTAGATTATATTAGTAACAAGAAAATCCTTTGTACGTAAAAAGTTCCAAAATTTTTTTTGGGGGGAGGGGGGTAAGAATTGCAAGGTTTGAGATCACCCAAAAAGCACTATTCACTTTGAAAGCCTACTTGGGTATTGAGCGTTTACTTAAGTTTACTTAATAATAAAAGAACTTAATTTTATTTTTTTTTGCAGATAAGATAATTGTAACTTCGGAGAAGAAAATAAGGTTTATTTTCTTACATGGAATCTTTCTATATGTGTGGATAACATATGCATTTTTTCTATGGATACATTCGAAATGTTTGATTCGTGCTCGAGCCGGATGATGAAAAATTATCATGTCCGGTTCTTTCGGAGGATGGATCTATAAGAATTCACCTATCCTAATAACAAAAAAACCTGACTTGAATGATCCTGTATTAAGAGCTAAATTGGCTAAAGGAATGGGTCATAATTATTATGGAGAACCTGCATGGCCCAATGATCTTTTATATATTTTTCCAGTAGTAATTCTGGGTACTATTGCCTGTAACGTAGGATTAGCGGTTCTAGAACCATCAATGATTGGGGAACCTGCGGATCCATTTGCAACTCCTTTGGAAATACTACCCGAATGGTATTTCTTTCCCGTATTTCAAATACTTCGTACAGTGTCCAATAAGTTATTAGGCATTCTTTTAATGGTTTCAGTACCTATGGGATTATTAACAGTACCCTTTTTGGAAAATGTTAATAAATTCCAAAACCCATTTTGCCGTCCAGTAGCAACAACCATCTTTTTAATTGGTACCATAGTAGCCCTTTGGTTGGGTATTGGAGCAACATTACCTATTGAGAAATCTCTAATTTTAGGTCTTTTTTAAACTTTTTAATTAAATGGATTCAATTGTGAAATAAAATATCATGCCCAGAAGCGACGAGCAGTCGCGGTCGAAGCTATACCCAGGGAAAAGGCTCCTTCTTATTGATAGCACAGGTGAGAAAGACCCCTAATGGGCAAACTTCACTAATATCCCAGGAAAATTGAATGTGAATGAATGAAACGGGAATTTGTTCTAGTTCTATATAGCATATTTTTATCACATGTAAATATTATACTTTTCTAATATAGAATATCTAATATACTAATATATCTTAATCGAATTAGATATATATATCTAAATTATATATATCTAATCGAATCTAATATCTAATAATAGTAATAAATAATCTAATAATATATATAGAATAATATTTAATATGTTATAGTTATAATTGAATGAACAAAAAATGGAATGAACAAAACAAAATATAACAATACAAAAAAAAATATTCATTGGAGGAAAATCGAAATAGGTCAAACAAAAAGTCTTTTTAGGAAAACTAGGAAAAAGATCTTTTGGATGGATCTCTTTCCTAGTTTTTTTACAATTTTCTGGTAATCTTTTCTATTTTACTATTACATTAAATTGTATATTGATTTTATTTATACTTTATTGCATCTTTATTATTTTTTTGGGGGGGGGGGGGGAGAATAACCCTTTTTCTTTATTATTATTCCAAATTTCTTTCTATTATATATGTTGTTCCCAAAATAGATTATCTTGAGCCGCAGTGTATGTGCGGTGGGCTAAATGAAAAAGACTTTTTTCGACAACTAGTCAATGATGGCCTTCCATGGATTCACCTATATAAGCCGCAGCTAAAGTAGCAAAAATAAGAGCTTGAATACCGCTTGTAAATAATCCAAGGAACATGACAGGTATAGAAACTACTAAAGGCACTAAAGAAACAAGAACAACAACTACTAATTCATCAGCTAATATATTTCTGAAAAGTCGAAAACTAAGCGATAAGGGTTTTGTGAAATCTTCTAAGATGTTAATCGGTAAAAGGATTGGAGTTGGTTGGATGTATTTACTAAAATAAGCTAATCCTTTTTTTGAAAGACCCGCATAGAAATATGCTACTGACGCAAGTAAAGCTAATGCAACGGTAGTATTTATATCATTTGTGGGCGCAGCTAACTCCCCGTGAGGTAACTGTATTATTTTCCAAGGCAAAAGAGCCCCTGACCAATTAGAAACAAAAATAAATAAAAACATAGCTCCAATAAATGGAACCCACGGACCATATTCGTCTCCAATCTGACTTTTGCTCACGTCTCGAATGAATTCAAGAACATATTTAAAAAAATTCTGACCAAAAGTGGGAATGGTTTGCAGATTTCGAACAACTAGAATGACTGAAACTAATAAGATAGCAATTACAACCCAAGAAGTAATAAGTACTTGGGCATGCACTTGGAAACCCCCTATTTGCCAATAGAAATGTTGACCCACTTCCACAGCAGATATATCGTATAATCTTTTTAATGTGTTGATGGAACATAATAAAACATTCATATTGTCCTGCCCTCTTAAAAGAAATTGAAATTGAAAGGGAATTATTTTAATTCAACCATCTCCTTTCCTTTTTGATTTGTCTACTTTCATTTTTGATTTTGAATACCGACTAATCACATAATATTTCCGTTTGTTCTTTTTATATTTTTCTCTTTCTTTTGTGCGATTTAGTAATAGTATAATAACTGATTTCATAAATCTATGAATCTCCCCAACCAAATCAAATAATTCATTTATCTTATTATTAATCAAAAATTTCGTATATAGCTAGAACGACCCTCACAAATTGCAAATATTAATTTGTTAAGAATTAATCGGATTGAGGCTATAGCATCATCATTAGCTGGAATCGAAATATCGGCGAGGTCCGGGTCACAATTTGTATCGATTAAACAAATCGTTGGAATTTCCAAAGTTATACATTCTCGAAGAGCCGTATATTCTTCTTGCTGATCGACGATTATTACAATATCGGGTAACCCCGTCATATATTTAATGCCACCAAGATATGTTTCCAAATGAGATAATTGTCTTTTCAATATAGCAGCATCTCTTTTTGGAAAACAGTTGAGCTCTTATTGCCGCCCGCGCTACTGAATCAACTGCTTTTTTTTTTGTACCAACAATTAAGAATTGTTTTCCCTTACTTGCTGCGTCAAAAACTAAATCACAAGCTTCTGATAAAAACTGAGCAGTTCTAGTAAGATTTGTAATATGAATACCCTTACGCTTTGCAGATATATAAGGTTCCATTTTAGGATTCCATTTTCTAGTACCGTGGCCAAAATGAACTCCTGCTTCCATCATCTCTTCCAAAATTATGTTCCAATATCTTTTTGTCATTTATATTTATCCCCACACTTTTTTTTTCAAAAAAAAAAAAATAGAAAAAAAAAGACCAGGTATCGTGAAATAGAAATAAAAAATTGTTCCGATGGAACCTTCTCTTCTACCAAAGATTGGCCATTGATACATGATTAGACCATTTTTTTCTATTTATTATTATTATTTATTATTATCTTTCTTTTACTACCCCCAAAAATGATCGCATTTAGGGTAGGGGGATGAATCCGCTCTTAGGAATCATTAAATCTTAGATTATTCTGATGTATCGCATAAATTCTTTGAAATGAAAAAAAAGAATTCTCTGTGGTGGAACAAAATATCTCTCATTTCGTCCTCGAATAAATTTTTCTTTTTTGATTCCAAGGTAATCTTGTTATGTTGCCTTGGCTTTGAACGGTGCATTATTCTTTTTAATCCAGTACCAACGGGTATCATTCCCCCTAAAACAACGTTCTCTTTCAGACCTTTCAACCAATCTATACGACCCCGGAGAGCGGCTTTTGCTAAAACTCTAGCAGTTTCTTGAAAACTTGCTTCAGATATAAAACTTTGAGTATTCAGAGATGTTTTTGTTATTCCCAATAATAGAGCTCGGTAGCAAGTTGCTTCTTCCAAGGCACAGCCCACTCGTTCGGCTCGCAACAATCCAATTAGTTCGCCGGGTGAAAAAACATTAGACATTCCATTTTCTGAAACCAAGACTTTTGATGTTATTTGACGCACAATAATTTCTATATGTCTATTATGGATTTGAACTCCCTGGGATCGATAAACTTTTTGAATTTTATTAACCAAAGAAATACGACTTTGCGCTATAGTTAACTCGGCACCGATCAAGAATCCCCAAGGAATGCCGAGAATTCTTGTTATATATCCGTTCCAAGTGTCAACTCTCTTTTCTACCTTCATCGATATTGAATCAATTGAACGTACTTCTAATACCTGTTCTACTTTTGGAACACCTTGTGTTATATCACCAGATCTCGATTTTTCATATATAAATGTAACTAATATATCTCCTTTATAAAGTATTTCTCCATAATGTCCATGAACAGTTGCTCCTGGAGTTGCCAAATAAGGGTTAGCCGATCTTATTCCTACAGAATCCATTTGAATAGTTAGAACTTGACCCGATTTTAAGTGTGGTGCATTTTTTGTTTGCACTATACATACATTTTCACAAATAAATTGCCCAAGACTTATTATTGGAAACGTTTTTTCATAATAATTGTGATGGATAAAATGCCAATTCAAATAGAATGGATTTAAAACGATATTACTGCATCTATCAGGTTTATAAATTCTCTCATTTTCGTCCATTAAATAATATTTGAATACTTGAAGAGTTTCCTTTAATTTCTCAAGTTGCAAATTATTATTCATTTTTTCGTTTAATAACTCATAATCAGATCTTGATGAATAATAATTTGCAACTTGAAGGGCTATTCCTAAAGGACCAAACAAATTCTTAATTGGAATTATGGAATCTATTTGAATTTTTTGAATTCCTTCTTTTATCCCATTGTAATATTTTCTATCGTTGAATGGTCCTATTATAAAAAAATTAGATGATGACAAAATTATCAAAGATCGACATTTCTCATTTCTATTCAACAACATACAAATAGTTCCGTGATTTTGTCTAAGTGATTGTTGAATTTTTGCCTTCGAATAAATAGAAAAAAATGGATTGATAAAGGTCCGATCCGACTCATTATCTGAGATCAATCCTGAACTGGACGGATCATTTCTTTTTCTGTCGTCGTAGTAAATAGTAGAGAAAATAGAATTTGTTTCTTCGTCTTTACAAAAAAAAAGGAGTAATTAACTGTGACACGTTCAATAAAAAAAAAATCCTTTCCCGTTTTCATTTCGTGGAAGTCCCCGCTAGGGCTCTCTTTGCCGAGATGCCACATCCTCTTCAGGCAGAGTTTGGTTTTTTGGGTGTAATAGTGGAAAAGTTGACAGATAAGTCACCCTTACTGCCACTCTACAGAACCGTACATGAGATTTTCACTTCATACGGCTCCTCGTCAATTCTTTTGAAGTCATTGGATCTGTTTCCTCGTTCGAGAATCTCCCCCAGGGAACTCTTCCTATTAGTCCTAGCAGTCACTTCCAAGGTGTTTCAGTGGCCCGAAATGAGTTTTGCCCGCGTTACTTAGCAACTAAGCAAAAGAGGACCCAGGCGAGACCCAAATTAGAATTTGGACACAAAGGTGCCAGGAGACGAGAGAGAGACAAGAAACTCTTCCTATTAGTCCTAGCAGTCACTTCAAAGGTGTTTCAGTGGCCTGAGATGAGTGTTGCACGCGATCTATAGCGACTAAGCAAAAGAGGACCCAAGCGAGACCCAAATTGGAATTTGGGCCCAAAGGCGCCAAGAGGCAACAGAGGGACAGGGAACCCTTCCTATTAGTCCTAGCAATTACTTCCAAGGTGTTTCAGTGGCCCGAAATTAGTTTTGCACGCGTTCCTTAACGACTAAGCAAAAGAGGACTCAAGCGAGACCCAAATTGAAATTTGGGCCCAAAGGCGCTAGGAGGCGAGAGAGAGACAGAGAACTCTTCCTATCAGTCCTAGCAGTCACTTCCAAGGTGTTTCAGTGGCCTGAGATGACTTTTGCGCGTATT